GATGGGACGGTCGCCCCTGTAGGGCTAGCCCAATTGACAACTGGGCCGATTTTCATTTGGGGCACAACATATACATACTTCAGCTTTAAATATAAGTAGCATCATAATAAACTGATTGGTTTATTTCTTTGTCTTTGAAGCATAATTGGTGTGAGAAACCTCTCTAAACATTCATCAATTGTTTTAAATAAGAAATTTGTCTTGCCTTTATTTTTTATGCAGGGAATTGAAAGCTTCCAGAAATTATATTCTTCCCGCTTATCTTGCATATCCAAAAGTCGATGAATTTCATTCATCAATTCACATAAAGAAATATTCGAGTTATGTAAGAGACGTTTAAGACTTGAATTAACAGATTCTACTCGTGAAGTCGCAATCATTCTTCCAGTGAATTTATAGCTTATAAAGCTATGTGCCCAATAAGCTTTAGTTCGATAAAGTACATCCAGGTAAGAATTAGCTGAGGGAAAATCTTGATGAAGATTTTCAAATCGTTTTTCAAAGACCTCATTTGTAAGACTATTTCGGCATATATAAAATGCTTCAAGGAATTTAGAAAAATCGTCACCAAGAAGTCTTCTTAGATGCTTATTAATGTTTTGTGTTATATGAAACGCACAATGAATTGGATATGCTTGAGAAAAAATCCGATGAATTGCAGAATCAACTGCAGGGTCGGCATCAGTTATTATTACTACAGGTTGTCTATTAGTTACTTTTAATATTTTATTAAACATCCAGATATGCGATTCCAAGCTTTCGTCAGCTTGAGCAAGAACAATATTATGCCGATAATTACTAAATCCTATAAACAATGACAAAACCATGCCATAACAGTTGGTTTTATGCGTTACATCATTTAAAACGCAATCTGAAAATCGAATCCAGTTTTCAACTTGTTCAGGGGTCATCTATAATAATTTTGTAAGTGAATTGTCACTCTTACAACGATCCATCGAGAATCTTCATTTTTTTTATTATCTAACCAATTGGACATTGCGGCTGCATCATTCAATAACATTTTAGCAGATGGTCTGAATTTTTGAATAGTTGTATACAAATCCTTAGAATATATAGGTTGTGAAGGATACTTTTCTTCTAAAAACTTCTATTGGACTATTGCTCCAAATTTACAATGTGTGGTTAGAAACTTGATGTCTTCAATCATTTCAGGTGAGATTTTTTTTTTTTCTTCAAAAGCAATCATTTCAACATTTAAGCGATGGTTATGCTTATTAACAATTTTATTAATTTGAACTTTAGAATTCAAATTGTTAAATTTAGGACATGAAGCATTAACCAGAAATTCACAGTTGGTCTTTTTTGTAACTGTATCCTTTGTTGAGTTAGAATTATAAGTACCACTATGATCGCACAAATATATACGTCGTCGAATAATTCCTTCTTTACATGTCACATGGTCTTTTTTTATATGAAAGCCTTTTTTTTTCGACCATTCATTGAGAAATAAATCATATTCTTCCCATGTTGAAAAAACCTTTCCAGTAAACAAGTCAGAATTTGTAATCTCATTAGAAAAAAAATTAGATTGGTCAGATTCGACTACTTGAATTATGTCGATATCACTATTTTGAGGTATTTGAATTATGTCGATATCACCATCTTGAGGTATTTTATCTCTAGAAAACACTTCTTCAGTCGTATTAATATTGAGAAGATCTTTCTCATTAATCATATTGCTATAGCGAATAAAATAAGCGAAATAAAAAAAAATTAATCACTATATAGTAAATGACTAATCGCAACATGTTAGATGTTGAACGATACAAAACAAAGCTATAAAGAAAAAATTGTATCTGAATAAATACAACTAATATATCAGTGTTAAAAAAAAACAAACCACGAATTAGTTAAGCTTCAGTATTGAATAATACAAAGCAAAATGACTAAAGAAAAAATTCATACCTAACTACAATGCAAATAATGCAAATGACAATGGAAAAAAAAATGCAAATTAGCAACATGTTAGATGTTTAATGAAGTGAAAAAAAATGTGAATAGTAAATAGTCGTTTGATATTGAACAATACAAGTGAAGTGATCAAAAAAAAAATTGCAGGTTAAACAATACAATACGTTATATGTTGAATGAAGTGACCAAAGAAAAAATAATAGTTAGTAAATAATGTGACATGTCCAATACAAAAAAAAAAGAAAAGCAGTTTGTTTAGGAAATGCAAAATAAAGTTTGAATGAAGTAACCAAAGGAAAAAAGTAGATGATATGCGATTGGTAAATAATACAACGCATCCAATACAAAAAAAAAAGCAGTTTGGTTAGAAAGTGTCAAAATAAAGTTCGAACGAAGTAACCAAAGAAAAAAAAGCAGATGATACAATGATGAAAAAAGAAAATTATAGGTTGCAACACGTTAGATATTCACTCAAGAGTAGGTATTTCGTATTCGTTCTTCCTTTCTAACCACTTTTTTTATTGCTAATACTGTCACATTTCATGAGACAAAAGTTCAAATCATTCTGATTCTTATGCATCGATCACCCCCCTATCATCAAAACAAACTCAAACAAACCCGATCTTACTACCTGATCTTACTACTGATCGTCATTTATATAGTTATTATATAATTAGTGTAACTATGCGTCACTGCGCATGTGCGCAAAATAATATATTTCAAAAAAAAATTCCCAATGTAATCTTGCACAAGACTTGTATGATTATTTGCAACTCAAGTAAACTCATATTTGAATTCATAATCGAAGATAAATTTTATAATACCTTAGTATATAAATTTCTAAAATATTTTAGCACTTTTGTATTAAAATCTATTTTAAATAGCTTTATAGCTATTCTTATAAATTTTGGATCAATTAAAAAAATTTGGCTGAATTTTGATAAGCTTTTAATCTCAGATGATTATATATATAGATAAGCAGCAATCTATACAATTTGATTAAAATAACTCATTTTACAAATTGCAATAAATTAATATAATTTATTAATAAGCTACTGAAAATTATATTATAGAATTTATTCATAATTATAAATAAGATAAATTAACTTGCATTAGAATTAACATAATTTTATAGCAGCATTATTGCTAGACCGGTCTAGTAAATTTGAAAAATTACTTGAACTAATTAGATAAAACTAAAAGATATTTAAGCTCTAATAGTAAGTTGTTACTAGACCCTTCTAGTCATATTTTTTTATCACTAGATAGAAGCTCCAGTAAGGTTTAATGAAATTTAATAAGTTAAAAAGTATGAATTTAAAAAAAAGTTTTTTTTATTTGTATAATATGATATAATGAAGTTATTTTTAAAATTTAAAATTTTATTTAAATGCATATATATAATTTATTTGAACCATAATAGTGCAATTCTATAAATTAGACTGAAAATATTATACTGTATACAAACTAAGATTGTAATTAGATCATTAAAATTCAATATCAATTAATAATTGTATATTTAACTTTTTTATAAAATAAAATTCTATATACAAGATTAATTTTGTAGTTCATAGTTAGTTTCAAAAATCACAAAACTGTCAAATTTTTATACTAATATTTTGCTAGTCTTTAAACTGATATCTATATTTTAAACTAATAATATAATAATGATAAGTATTCCTGTTAGTAATATTAGTTTTTAAATTATCCTAAAATAAAAAGATTTGTTTTTAAATATCTTAAAATTCTTTATATGCAAAAGCACTAATGATTGATATAAATGCACTTTTAAACACACTTTACAGATCTACAATGTAGTTTATCATATTCATAACTAAATTGGAGGGTTTTTTTTTTTTTCCGGTATTAAGGTAACCTCTTTGGCTGAGGAACGTTTTATTAGATAGTTATATTTTTCAATTACAGTAAGGGTACATATAGCCACACGTGCACCTTTTGAGTGCC